ACAACCCCCAGTGGACACTTAAGGAACTGCAGGGTCCTTTAAAAAGTTGCGTTGAGGACCTTAGACGGACAAAAATGTCCATCTCCTAAAACTGCTCAAGAAAATGGTATACTTCAATATTTTTTTCACTTTTTTTTGCTTATATCTGTTGATCAACTTCATTCCTGATCATACCTACCAAATATTTATTGGTTTTCAGAATTTTAATCCTTTAAATGCCAGTTTGATGTCATGACGACACTGCTATTTTTAATGGGGAAAAAAAGATATTTTGAGTTATTTTCTATATATTACATGCTGGGCAGGAATTTCTTTTTCTTTTTAGTTAAGGTCTGTGATACGTCAAAAAATAACAACATTAATTCTGATGCATGATTATTTTTTGTGCACTGTCAGATTGAAATGGTTAGATTGAAAAGGTTAGATTGAAAAAAGTCCATTCAATCCCATTAAACGGCATTTTTGGGATTTTGATGTGTGTGTGTGTGTGTGTGTGTGTGTGTGTGTGTGTGTGTGTGTGTGTGTGTCTGAGTCTATCATTAAGTGTGTTTGTGTGTGTCTTTAAAGGAGAGTGTTTATGTGATTGTGTGAGCTGTAAGCAGGTGGACGCTTTTTCAAATATTGACATCAAAGTGAGTTTCACCTCGTTAGAGAAGGTCAGTAGGTCAAAACCCTTTGATCTTTCCTCACTACATATCTGTGTACACACCTTCAAACGATCAAAACACAGGTGCAGAAAAAAAACAACAATATAAAAGTCTGATTGGTTTTGTCTAGTATGAGGTCACTTTGTTTAATCAGGTCTCAGACGAATCTACAATCTGCCCAGCATCTAATATATGGAAAATAACAGTGACGTCATGTAAACAAACAGGCATTTAAAGGGTTAAAATTCTGAATATTAATTCATATTTGACAGATATGATCAGGAATGAAGTTGATTTAAAGATTCGAGCAAAAAAAGTGAAAAAAATATTGATGTATAATAATTTTAGTATCGTGGAATAACATATCGTGTTTTTGTCACACAGTGAATAATAATGGATGGTTACATTTTAATATTTGGAAAGAAACAAAAAACCTGCAAAAAGATCATCCTATTTGCTTTAACAGCCAAAATGATCAACAAATGAAAGATAAAAATGTCCCAAGAGCCCCAGAAGGTGAAGGAACTGCAGGGTTTTACTTTTACACAATGGTTGCAGTTTTCAACACCAGATGTTGCTCCTTGGATAAAACTGTAAAAATGTCCCAAATATATAAAATGTACTGATTTTTCAGCTCAGGGTATTTGTAGCTGAGAAACAGCTAAGGAGAGAGAAAGCTGGATTTGAGCTCTGTCCTCTCTCCCTCTAATTTTGAGGCGAACGATCTGGTCCTGCTGATATTTTCTTAGAAGCTCCATATTTTCCACATGCTCTCTCACCGCTGTCTAAATAATCAAGTGACAGTGAAGACACACGGTTTGTCATCGAACAAAAACATTTCCCGCTCGGAGGAACAATGGGGACCGGCTGAAAACAAAGAGCTCTGAGGAGTGACAAGCACCTCGAAGGCCTCGCTGCATGTTTGGGATCAGGATCTTCATTTTCCAGCAACGTGTTGAAGTCCTGAGGTGGCGTTTGTTTCCTGTCAGCGCCGGTGAATAAGACAGGAACTCTTCCTTTGTTTTCATGGACGGAGAAACACGAGGAGAGGTCGTGAATGTTTGCAGATTCTTTCCCAGGGTGGAGGAACGATGCTGCCAGAATACACAACATCGGTCTTTGCGGCATTTCAACACTCCTACGGTGAAATAGTTCGCACTAAAGTGGAGATGAACGGCACGGAAAGCTCGTAGCTGCTGTGGGAACTCACTTTATAATTGTTTGTTCAATTATTTTTCTTGGACGCTGCACCTGAACTCCTGAGACCGAAGCACAATTAGAGGCAGGCCGACGCCTGTTTAAACGGCGAGGAGGGAGGGAGTCGGATAAACACCTTTTTAGCGCTCAAGGTAACAAGCAAAGGGTGACAGTGAGGAGGCTCGCAGGGAGCAATTTTCTGTTTATTTCTCTTCTGATCTGACCTCTCTGCTGACAAGGTTCCCGGGCTTATTACCGTATCCGTCCTGAGCTCTAATCGAGGCCTATTACCGATGTTCAGCTGCGTGGAAGTGCAGGCAGAGGATAAAGGAGGCAGACAGTTGCTTTAGTTTGCGATGACACCCTCATAGATGTTTCGCTAGGTTTGAAAATTCACAGATTAGTCGATCAGATGTTTGCAGAAATGGTAAATTGTGTTTCCCAACCCACGCTTTCTGTTTTAATGAGAATTTGTGCAAAGAGAAATACAGAGGTGTGAAGATGCTGCACGGAAACAAGAGGAAGTTTACACCTCCTGTGAAGCTAAAGCAACTCGTAGCTACTAATATACACGACTTTTCTTAGTGTGACCTGCTGGAAAACACAGAAAAGATCAGAAACAGAGGAGCAAGACCGAACTCTGATCGGAAACCTGCTTCACCAATGGTCTCACCAGCTCAGATTTAGAGGATGTAGTTGCATGTTTGCTGCATGTCACCCCCCCTGAAGCCTCTGTAGTTTAAAGAAAAACACTCCTAGGTTCGCTCTTTTCATCATCATCTCCCCGTCGGTTCATTAAAAATCAAAGCGGGATGTTTTAGAAATCTGCGTTAGTGTCAGCTTCTTTCCAGACTTCTCCGTGTTTTTCAGCTGACCTTTTGTTTTGAAAAACCATCACGTCCTTTTATTTTGGCGATCCGTCACATCCAGTTAAACTGTGTGTCACACTGATGTCTGTCCGCGTCTCTGAAAATGACCATTTACATTCACAGCAGATTTCCTGCTGGCTCTCTCCGCTCTCTCTGCAGATGCCAGTCAGTCACTCAGTCAGTGTGTTACAGCGTTTACCGCGACTTCTGTCTGCAGTCACACAGCCGTCACCCCGGCCATGCATACCGCCCTCGACGCCTTCCAACATGCATTATTCACCGCCAAATTAAAATACCGCGCAGAGACGGAGAGAGTGAGAGTTGCATGTTAAGGCGGCTGGATCGAGGAGGTGCCGTCACAACAGCTGAAAACGTCCGTCACAGAGTTCGAACTTCTTTTTTTTCCCAGAGTTCCCCGGCAGTGCAGCTGCCTAAATGAGAGGGATTAAGTAAACTCTGCGCTCAGAGGACGAGCAGGCCCGGGATTAGGGCAGCGGGCGTGGACACAGAGAGCGTTCAAGCAGGAGCTGCAGCTTTTTAAAACGGAGGAGACGAAGGAGAGAGGAGGAGGCAGCGGAGCGCGGCCCTCACAGGGGCCAACGACGGCCCAGCAGCTCCGACAAATACACTGACAAGTGTAACAACGCGCACAAAACACGGAGGAGTGTGTCAGAGCAGAGAGGAGAACACTGGCGGACACGCCGACAATCACAAATGCTTTTTCTCTCTCCTTTCTTTTCCAACCTGCTCTCACTCCTCCATCTTCTGTTAAAACATGAAACACTGCAAGAAATGCAAGAAACTAATCCCTTCATTTCTACAAAAACACGAACCGCTTTATATTCAGTCTGTACCAAAAACCTGAGGGTACGTCACTTTGGTCAATAGACATCACTGAAATTAGAGCCAACAACAAAGGGGCGCGATCACTGAAGGCTGCGTCACGTTCACTACATACTTTAAAATCAGAGGAGTTGTTTTTTTCACATTTGAAGAATTAAAGATGCGAGTATGAGAATAACTTAACCAGGTTTTCCTGTGATCGCAGATGTTTTGTGTTTTAGAGTCTCAGATGACTTGATCGGGTTCTGCAGCTCAAACCAAGTTAGCTGAGGCGGCAAGCAGAGAAGTTTTTCAACATTGCATGTCATCTAGGGCTGGGTGATATGTCCTCCAATCAATGTTACCATATATTGATCAGTTCACCTCCATAACTATAAATGGACAATAACTACTCCACAAGCTGCTCGCCCCCTCCCACATTTTGAACCTTTGAACCGTCCTCCATCTCCTCACCGTCTTTCCCTCTTTGTTACAGACTGGATGGGGTGGAGTCACGTCTCTGACGTAGGACAATCCAAAACCAACTTTGATTTATTTACTTTTTTGACTCCAAATAAACCGATATGGGCAAAATGACGTCGGTTATTATCGTAGACTTCAGTATCTGTAAATTTTCCGTTTATCGACCAGCTCTAATGTCATATAACGTTCTTATTGCGGAGGTTTGATGGTTTTATTCAAAGGTTGCACATTTTTTAAGGACATTTATATTCTGTTTCATATTTTAAATCTTCATGAGCTTTGATTAATTCGATAAACACTTTCCTTCAATCCTCTTCATACTACAAAAACATCCAAACATGACCGTCTTTGTCTAACCCACACCATCAGGTGATATCAGGAACGTAATATCTTCTTTGCTGTTTCAACAGTTTCACCTGACGACGCAGTAAGAGTCAGAGCTGCGCGTGCACACTCTCTGTTTCCTATAAATCTATAAAAGAGCGGGGAGAGAGAGAGGGAGAGAGAAACCTGGGAAGCAGCAGAGATGAGAACAGGTGGTGAAACAGTGTGAGAAACACGAGGGAGAAAAACAACAGACACCTGCTCCTGAAACCCAACCTGGTTCCTCCATCACATTCCAGCAGAGTTCAGCTGACGGAGGCGACACACTCCACCTCCTGCTCTCAATTATTCTGCTGACAGTGTGAGAGGCAGTTTAGACGAACGGATAGGGGAGCAAACTACCAACAGACACAACTGGCTTTAACTGAAGCTGCTGTGAACCTTTGGAAACCAAAACTGAAAATCTGAAACTCAGTGAGTGAAGAAAGTGACTAAAACCAGAAATGTTCACCTCAACACAAAGCTGGTCTGGAGTTTCACTTTCAACCTGAACATTGGAGTAATTAAACAGCCTCTCTGATCTTCTCTGTCGTCTTCTTCTTCTGTCTTTTTGTCGCTGCAGGCAGAAGCACCAGACCTCGGTCACGTCAGCTCCATGTCATCGAAGCGACCGTGACGCCGCCGCAAAACCCGACGTGACGGCTGCCTTTTTGTCTTGGCAGTCAGGACACGGCGTCCGGCCGGAGGACGAGTGTAATCGCTCCGACAGGTGACACGTCCGTGGAAACCAGAAGATGATGGGGAGACGACTCGGATCATGTGACCTGCACCTCACACGCCTCCTCCAGAACTGTGAGTGCATGACGAGCTTCACTCTGACGTGAGGTGACATTTAAGAAACACAACAGATTAATAGACTGACCAAATATCTGATAAACGAGTCATACAGAGGGATCGATGAGTGAATTATTGATACCTGAGACAGATGATCAATATTTAAAGGCAAAGTTTAAAGATTATTCCTATAAAAATGTCGTTAAATTAAGCCGACAGGTTACCACAATTTCAGTTTTAACCCTTCAGCCCAATTTTTAAACCACTTAGTGATGGTCAGACACAACTTCTTTTTAGGATTTTCTTTAAAAATGAAAACAAAACATGTTTTATGGTTTTATATCGTGTTGGGCGGTATGACGGTATAAACCGTGTGACGGTATAAAAGTGTCTGCCAGTAGAAATATTATTATTATTATACCGTTTATACCGAAGAGACAGAGGAACTTGTTCTGAAAAGGGCGCGAGTCACGACATCGGTTGTCTGGAGATTCTCTGTATTTAGAAAATCCGACAATAATCAAAAACAAAACTACACAAAGAGTGTTGTGTGTCTGTCGTTGTTGGAGGAGGAAACACCAGAAACCTCTTCCACCACCTAAAGATGAAACACGCCAAACTCTGTTATGAGACTCTAAAGATGCGTGACGCACCTGCTGCACCAAAAACTAAAACTGCAGCAGCTCCTCTCAGACTAAAGAGCTCGGCAGAGTCTTTCACCAAAGATATATGATAAAAAATCACCAGACTGGTCTGACATTTTGTTCTGAGTTTAAAAATAAAAGGAAAATGAACAAACGCGACAGTACGGTTATTTTTAGGCCGTTAATTGAATTTACAGGGGAAAAAAAACATACTGTGATATGAAATTATAAGATTATATATAAGATTTTGTTCATACTGCTCAACACGAGTTTCATGAAGTCCACAAAGTTCAGACACCAGGATGCCGTTCCTCTGAGCAAACTTTGGGACATAAACGAATCGGGTCAGCCTCCGATTCCCAGTATTTGATTCTTTACATCAATATTGAACCAGCTGCAGATCGTCCCTGTTGTAAAATTCAGAACTGTCCCTTCAATATTAAAGCATGGAAGATCACATGAAGCAGATTGAGTTTTGCTCACTTCATGACAGCTTTTCTGCTCATCAGGGTTTGAATTATTGAACTTCTCCATCTCTGGTCCGGAGATACGATAACATACTTTCAAATGCTGCTAATAATGGATCAGAGGAGAATCAATTTCAGAGCAGAGGAACTTTGAGATCTTAGTACTTTGTGTGTTTAGACTCAGATCGAAGTTTTGGCCTTCATTAGGGATCTGTGCGTCGGGTCAGCTGGACTAGTCGGCGATAAATAAGCTAATAACCTGTTAGCATCTGATAGCCTCTCTGTTCTCTCAGAGTGCTGGTGTCAGATCTTCATCTCCACATGTTCTCCAGTGTGGTTTATACCGTAACTCTCTGCCTGTGCGGGATCATCTGACCCCTCTCTGACAGCAGGGTGGCACTTTGAAGTGTTTTGTTTTTTTCATGACAAACTTCTCGGGAACTGTGTGGAGCTCTTTTGGCATCTGAGACCTAATTAGCAAAGACTTAACGGGCAAACTGTGAAAATGTAAACATATATACTCTTGTTTTTGGATGAACGGTGGAAATCGGCGCTGAATCTTCACATCATGAACTTAAATTTGTTGTTATCTGTCAGAGACCCTCCTTGTTTATTAGCCGGGCGTCCTCGATGGACTCTCTGCCCGCCCGGCCTCTCGTCTCAAACTCAAGTAAGCTGGCGGAGCTTGTGATCGCCGCTCGCTCTCCTCTAAAAAGACCCCCAGGCCCGAGAGCCAGATCCAGCTCGGTCTGAGCCCGGGGGATCCGGTCCTGTTTGTCAGAGCTTTCCATCGTCACTTTTTCCAGTCGGAGAGGCTCTAATGTACTCTCTGGGTCTTCCTCCCCGCTTCACTGTTTTCTGTTTGGCTGCTGTCACTGAGAACAGACTCATGAGCACTCGCTCTGTATCTCTTCACACTCACACACACTCACACACACACACACACTCTGCGGACAGAGCGATGGGCTCTCCGGGGCTGAGAATTTCCCCTGCTCCGTCTCTATCTGCTGCTAAATGTTGACAGACCAGTGAACCCTGCTGTCGGACTGTGACAGGCGAGTGTTTGGGCGAGAAAAGAGAGAAACAAAGGGGCCTCTGGTGTGGTGGTTAGCCATCATGGCTGCTCGGTGAGCGCTCGGCCGCACCCGGGTCGGCCGGCGAGCGGACCGTTGGGGAAATGGCTGAAGGGTTCTGGTGTTTCTGTAGCGTTCACATTAATGAGGAGATTGTCGGCATATCAGAGCTGATGTGTGTGACGAGAGGCGGCCGAAAAACAGATCCCCAAAACAAAATGCTCGGGACGAAATCTACTCTTTGATTTTTGCCGAGTTTGAGCTGCGGTACGAGATTTTGGCTCTAAATGTGGAGAAGTTAAAGAGGATTTGATCAGATATTATATTTCAGATGTTGAGCTTTTATTGACAGAAGATCAGACGTCTGCTGTGGTAGGATGGTGATCTTTTGAGACGATGACGTAGGACTGGGCGTGATTTATGATCGTGATCAATTTCAGTTCAATCACGGTGATCAGCTGTGAGCATTTTTACTCAGTCAAACATAGAGGAAATGTGCGTCACAACAGCCAATCAGAGTCAAGCTTTTCCTGCTCACTTCTGTAAGTTTCCAGAAAAGTAAACAGAATGACCGAACGTGGAGCTAAACGCAGAGCTGAGGGCAGCAAAATAGATCCTCCGAAGATGTTACTGTTGCGAATAAAAGTTACTGCACATCAGTTGTGTGGCGGTGACATGTTTCAGGTATTTCAAGAGTGAATTTGAGCAATTTAGCCGATGTGTACGGTATGTCGGTGGTCGGTGCCCTCAAATCAATAATTTCATCTTCGTCTATATCATCTAATGTTTACATTTTAAGGCGTCTTCATTATCTCTGAGGGGGCGATTTGTTCATTTTGGGTCTGTCATACCTGCAGAAACACTCAGGACTGTAAACTAGTTCACTGTATGTATTTATCATTTTTGTAGTTATGTTGAGTTTAAATGTTTTTTTATGTTTTTCAAAGTTTATCTTATTTAATCTATTTACTTTGTATGTTAATAAAATGTTGAATTAATCTTTAGTTTTTTTAGTTTTTAGTTCAGATGCTTTAAAAACTGGCAGTTTAAAAAAATCGTGATAATAATCGAGATCGGACGATATGACAAAATATATCATGATCATTTTTTGCCAAATCGCCCAGACCTACACTGACGAATCTGTGTCGTTGAATTCTGTTTGAAAAGTGGTGACCACATATTGGTGGTTTTAAGGCGTTCGTTTCATCAAGCTGAGCAGAAACCTGTGAGGTGTTGAAGGAAAACCTTGTGAAGTCGTGGACAGACCGTCGTTTTTAAAGAGTGAAGATCTTTGAGAGTTTACAGACGTTTAAAGTCTCTGAACAAAACCAGGCTGATCAGATCAGCTTCGACATGAAATCAGCGTGTTGGAGACAAAGATCTCATTATTTTCTTCTGAACCCACCAGCTGCGAGTTCAGCTGCTGTGAACGTGTCACCGCGCTCACCTCCGCTTGTTTGATTCGCTTCCCCTGCATCTTTTCTTCCCCCCTCACTTCCTCTGGGACTCGTCACGTTTGTTGAGCGGTATTTCCCCCTCGGCGAGCCGGAGCGGGTCACGTCTGAGCGCGACAGTCCATAAAGACATAAAGACACAAAGGTGAGGACGCACAAAGAGGTGAGGTCCCGACCCGCCGGGGGAGTGCGACGTGACGGTGACAGCGTCTTCCTCTCTGACACGTCGGAGGAACAATGGAGGACGAGGCGGGAGGATGTAACCGAGAAAATGAAAGCAGAGTCATCAAGAGTGTGACACACCTCTGTCCTGGAGATCCGTGACACCGCCGTCATGTGGCCACCTGTCAGTCCAGTCAGCACGCCCCTGTTTATGCCAAATAACGCCCGACCTTTGACCTTCATATAATCAAAAGAGATGAGTGATAAACATTCACCTCTGTGCCGCTGTTAGGAAGACAGAAACAGAAACTCAGCAGGCTGTCGACAGGTTTGATTCTGCTGGACAGTTAGAGAGAAGGACTCGCTTCTGGAGACTGCCCCGTGTGGACTCTTTAGGAACTGCACCTCTGCATCTAGACTGGTCAGGTGGTCAGCGTCTGCTGTTTATGCAGGAATGAGGATTTGGAGGAAGTCTTTAGGCAGAGCTCTGTAGATCTCATTGTGACATGTAGACCCAGATGAGTGCAGATGTAGATGAGTAGACCCTTCAGATGTTTTCGGACCTTAAATGTGGGGTAGGCAGGAGTCCGTTAAAGAAGCATCCTTTTTTTCTGGTGCATAAACAAAAAATCTTTTAATATAAGTCAATAGTTATTAGTTATTGATGACATTCGGTAATATAAGGATATCTCTGTGTTCTCTTATGTCTGTGTTGTCAACATTTGAACATTTTTGAGCGGTCCGCTCTTTCTGACTGTAAACAAAGCCGTTCTCCACCTCCTCTAACCTGATTGGTTGTGAGGAACACTCTGTCCAAACAAAGTTAGCGTGCTACAATATCGGACAGAAGAAACCAACCAGAAAGTTCGGAAAACACAAGAAAACAAAGTAAATACCGGAGACTCTGGAGGAATAACGGGCGCTTAAAACGGAGGTAGACCGGACAAGAGCTAAAAAGCCGGGTCAACATAAACGATGGGGGACGCTTGGGGATCTTGGTGACCCTGTAACCTTTCTGCTGGACAGGTAAACCGCTTTAACAAAGTAAGACAAGTGTCTGTAACAGAAGTGTTTCTTGTCAAACGGACCTGCTGTAGCGTGTTGTAGCGCCATCGCTAAACTGTCCTCCCTCGGGTCCTGGACTATGTCACTTTATCCTCGTTGTAGAAGTCCTGCAAACATTGTGTTTGCTGGTAGTCTGTTGGCATCTACAGTAGCACCAATGCTT